GTAGTCTCCCCGAGTCTTTGCTGATGTTTTCATGGATGCGCCGGTTTCTTTCCTTCCAAATTTGGTGGGAGATGATTCCAGGTATGATACCTTTGAGCCATCCTTCTAGAGTTTGGTTATGGTATTCTGTCCACCATTTGTGGAGGTAGGCTCTCACACCGTGTGTTGCTTGCCACGGTATTTTGAAAATCCATTCGAAGTAGCTCCAAATGGGTTTAGCGTAGGGGCATTGAAAGAGAGTGTGATAGTCTGTGTCACTATCCCTTTTGCAGAGATGGCATATGGAAGGCAATGAAGTGATTCCAAATTTCCTCAAATGTGCTCTATATATATATATATATATATATATATATATATATATATATATATATATATATATATATATATATTATTTTACACATTATTAAAAAAAATTATGCTTTATACAGCGGATAAATAAGGGTATTCACATCGCAAAAGAACCGCTGTCTATGCCACCGATGGGAAAGATCTCACGTTTAGACAGCAGTTCTTTTGCGATGTGAAAGCCCTTATTTATCCGCTGTGTAAAGTGTATTCTGTAGTAGTGACATAGTGATGTTGATTTTGAAGGATATCTAGAAGAACTCTAAGATATAATCATTTAAGTTAATCCCTGCACGTATGATGCCCGGTGGTCAGGGTTAAAACGTACGTATGGGATCCAAGAACCAAACTTGAGTACCTACTCGTTTGGGGGGTACCACCCAACCCAACAGTGAACACTACACTGTCGGTTTAAGGATACTGTTGAATATGAATATTTGAACTGAACATTACGTGCATGATATCAAATGACTCGATTATGAATTGAGATTCAATTTATATGGATGTTCGACGCCATAAATATGCTTACTCAGCTTCACCGCTAAGCGTGTAGTGTGCTTTAATTATTTGCTACACACAAGATTGGCGTATTCCTGGCAGCGAATGGGGCGAGACAGTCATGGTGGATTTATGAATAAAATGAATAATTGTGTTGTTATGAGACATTGTTTAAATTCATTTCCGCATTATTAAAAACTCCGTATTTTCTACAGTTATGTATTGAATATTATTTATGATGAATAAAGATGCTTGAAATATTTAAAATTCTACGATTACCAAGTTTATACTTTAGTGCGAAAGGGGCTTCAGACCAGGATGGATTATGGTCTTACAAAAGGAGTTGCCGCGGTAGAACTCGTTGTCACTGCCAGCATGACGCCTTCGTGTCTGCCAGTGATGGTAGGAGCCGCCGCCGCGGTTTGTCTGCATTCATGATTCCACCCGATGATATTGGGCATTAAGTTTCAATGCTTGAAAGGCCAACGTGTCTTGAGTTCCTATTGTAATTGGGCCACTGTTTCCAAATGGAATCACGCAATTCATTAAAGCTGCCAACAATCTTTCGATGATGTGTGGTTAATTCACTCGACATGATTGTGGTTCAACAACAAGAGCACCAATTGTTACGGATATGGTACGATAAGGAAGGCTTCGAGTGCTTCTAGACTCTAGAAAGTAAGGTGAAGAAGAAAGAGGGAAGGCCGAGGGGAAAAGAGCTCTTCATGTGACAGAGACCAAGGGAGAATTAGGAATTTTGATTGTATTATTTGGATACCCAAGACATGGGTCAAAAGCTGTATTTATACAATTGATAACCCTAACCCTAAATACTACGTTATTAATCCTAACGATTCAGAAAAAAGACGAGGTAAAAAAACGTAAAAAAATCTCTCGAAGGAGCTTATAAACGCTCACCTAAAAAAAATTTAAATTACAATAAGTAAATGATTAATTTAAAATGATATAATCTCGTTCCCACATCGAAGGTAGGTCCCTCGTGAACGTCCTCCTGCTCCTGATCACCTTGCTGCATGGGGCTATGCATATCATACAACCGCAAAGTCAGAGAGCAAAGCTTTGGTTTTTTGGGGTATGACAATACCAAGTTGTGCGACACCATGTATCGATAGTTTTTGGTGGTGTACTGTAGTGTACACCACTTTGGGGTACAATTGGCAAATCCTTAGCTTTTTTTTAGACCTGTGCAAATAAGGATCCGGGCCGGGCTTGATATAAATTATTAGCCCTTTAACATGGGCGGGCCTGGCCTGGCCCGGATTTGATGGGCTAAAATCTTTACCCATACCCGCCCATCTTTGCGGACCAAACTGCCCACCGGGTCGCCCGGCCCGGATAAAACATCAAGAAAATTTTTTTTGTACAAAAAATTTAAAAAAAACATTGAACTCTTTTTTAATGTTTAAAATAAAATAACCAGTCACCACATTTATATAGAAAGCATAATAGAGATATTGTTGCATAATTAATAAACCCATCATACTGATTCATTAAAAGAGCATTGATTTTTGTTTAAAAGAGGTGAGTGAATTAAACTATTATACATGAATTATAGAATATTTTAAAACTTATATTGGCTAGGTAATTAATAATAAAGTAAATATATTTGATCAGTATGGGCAGGCCTATTGGCCCAGATAAGTTAAAAGTAACTTCCAGATCCGCCCATATACAATTCGGGCTTAGGCCGGCCCGCCCATTTGGGTATTAAAGGTTGTCCATATCCCACCTTTTTAAAGGGCGGGCTGGGCGGGCCGAACGGGCCGACCCTTGTTTGCACAAGGCTACTTTTTTTGTTTTGATTTTTTGTTGGTGTTCCTCTCAATGTGAACACCAATCATACGAGCATTTTTTAATTACAAATTACTATAGAAATTAAAAGTATAAATTACACCATTTATAAAGATATAAAGGTACTATAAAACAAGAAATGATAAAAATATTATATTTTATCTAATTATTAATGAAAATATACAAATAAACAAATTATTGAAAATTAAAATAACATAATAGTGACCGTGGTATTTATTACGGGAATGTGAGAGTATAAGAAATTCAAAAGTCAAGGAACAAACTCATTTCTCACCCCGGATAAGCGACAAATAAGTGAATAACGGGATAAAGCAAGTAGTAATAGCTAATCGAGAAAGGAAGCAGTTAGGAGTTGGCGAGGCTTAAGTTAAAAAGGAAAAGGAGTCTAATTTCTTTAAAACATGCTCAAGTTGTCAACTTAACGTTAATTTTGTAGACTTTGTAAAAGGAGCAGTGAGCTAGAAAGAGAAAGTTAAAAAAAAGAACAAGTGTTTCTAGACAGAGAAAGAGAGTTAGAGAAAGCTTGGGTTTGATGCAGATTTACTGAAAGGTTATCGACGATGGACCAACACTTGAGAGGTAAAGGGTTTTGTTTCCCCCTTATGAACTATTATTTGGGTTTTCTATTGATTTGGTTTTGTAGATCTTTTTCTTGGTTTTATGCAAGCTGTTTTATTTTTTAATTGTTTGTAAAAACTCTGCCTTTTTCCAGTTTTATGCTGGAAATTTTCAATCTTTCTTGTCTTCAAGTGTACCCTTGATATGATGTTGTTTCCTTGGCTTTTGAATTCCACCCATGCTTTATTTTTAGAGAACTTCGGATATGTACTTAAAAAATGTACGAAGTTTGTTCTTTTTACTTTTCCTCTCTTTGATTTTTCCTGGTGTTTATCTCTGTCAAAATTATGATAAGGAAAATAAAGATAATCAAGGGCATTCATTTGAGTTGTTTGCAATACAGTAGTAGTTGTAGTTGTTAGAACAATTGTTGAGAAATTTTGGATTTTAGGTGTTGATTAAGATATATGATAATGTTGGGAGAAAACAAGTTAGAGATATTTTTGTGACAAAAAAGCCTTAGGTCAACTTCTACATTAAGATCAACAGCTCCAGATTGAAGCTACATACTGAGAAAACTATGTTTCATCCTCAAATGAACTGCAAACCGGGTGAATGAACTAGCGCATAATCTTTTACCA